GTGGAAGCTGATGAAGGCAAAGCCCTGGAGTGATGGAGAAAGAAGTCATATGAAGTTCTCCAGAAGAATAACTCACATGTCGCTTCATGCGTTTCTTACAGTGTAACAGTCATTTTTATAAAAACAAGTATGAGCAATTCGGTTTATTTTTAGGTGAACTATTAAGCTCATGTTCCTGTTTTTGTTCATGAGTAAATGAATCAACTTGGATCTTTTCCTACTCGTCGTGTTTCACATCTCTCACCTTAGACTGGCCTGTGTTCTTGTCCTTGGCCAGATAGATCCTAGAGATGGAGCCGAAAGGCCTGAAAAGCTCCTGCAGATCCGTCTCCCTGGTGTCCTCGGAAAGGTTGGTCACGCGGATTGTAGCATTATCATCCGCTGCAGAGAAAATACCAACACATTAGCATTAGCCTTCATGACTGAGAACATCCATGTGGGAGATCTGAATCTCAAACACGCACCTCTGCGGTTAGGCTGCATGGACTCTCCTCTGCGAGTACCACCGTCCCGCAGGCTGGGGGGAACATACTTCCCAGTCTTGCTTTGGACCGGTTGGGCAGGCTCGGGCTCTAGATATCAAAACAAAATTATTGATATATATATATATATTAGTGCTGTCAAACGATTAAAATATTTAATCGCGATTAATCGCATTAATGTCATAGTTAACTCGCGATTAATCGCAATTAATCACACATTTTTATCTATTCTAAATGTCTCTTGATTTCTTTTTGTCCCATTATTTGTTCTCATTTTAATGCTCTTAACATGGAAAAGTGGATCGGCTTGCTTTGTGCAAATGTTTTTTATTGAAAACATCATTGGCATATACTGTGTTCAATTTCACACTAACATTCTCACTTGGAGCAAATAATCTCTCAAACAATTTAACACTGTCCATCAATAAAAGGGGGAAAGAAATACTGACGAGGTCCTGATATTGACGAGGGGGCGGAGAATTCGCATCAGCTGTGTGTGTGTGTGTGCTTGGCCATCAAGTGGTGTTTCAGACTGGACGTACTGCAATGATATCTCAGTTCACAACGACAAAACACACAGATCACTTTGGTCTTGTCAATGGAACCATGTGGCAACTTTTTAAAAAGTAAACTTTTTTTTTAATTCAGAATCTTATTTGCATCCATTTCGGCGTCTCGCGCTCGTCATCCACTTAAAACGTAACGTAAACCTACTATTTGGGCGGCTCGCAACAAGTAAGCTTCCGGTCTAGCTAGATCTGGTGTATTCAGACAGGACGTGGAAATGAGCGGCGCTACGCCAGTTTTCAAAACTTTTTGGATGCCAAAAAGTTTCTATTGGCCGCGCTGGTAATCGTCACAGTGGCGAAAGTTGAACTATTTTGAATTTTGACCGCGGTGTGCGCGCCGCTGCTCTTGCGCTTTGGTCGACGAAGCAACAAAACGTCCTCGCGCGACGCAAGCCATTGAAATCAATGGGTTTCATAGCGCCGCGCATGCCGCGTCCTGTTGCAAAAAAAAAAAAAACTACAAAGTTTGTTAGGCCAAAAAAATCGTTAATCTCGCAATAAAAAAATTAATCGCGTTAAAATGGGTTTGCGTTAACACCGTTAATAACGCGTTTAACTGACAGCCCTAATAAATATATATAAAAGAATTTTTAAAAAAAAGAATAATCGACTTATGGTAATGCTTAACATACCTGTACCCGCTGCCTTCTCCTTTTCTCCCGTAGACAGGCCCAACTGCTCGGCCAGTTCCTTCTGCATCGGACCGAGTGTGTCCTTGTACGGACAGCGAGTGGTCCAGTGATCCCCCTTACAGATACGGCAAGACACGATCTTCTGACCTTTCAGCTTGTTCATTGGGTCCTCATCTTGGTCTTGAGCATTCAAGTCCTGTAAAACAGCGGGGAGAATCACTTCAAGTTGGCATCAGTACAACAGGGAAGTGAAACACGTCAAAGGACTGAAATATATCAGCTTGCGCCAAATTAGAACTGACTTACAAAACACTTTTCAGTTTCTTAGTAAGGACCAGTGCAAAAACTGGGAGTTCATCACTATCATACCTCTTTACTGGAGATGAAGGTCATGAAGACGTCATCACTCACGGTAGTGGTGGCAACATTCGGACCTGGTTGATCAAATTCAGAGTTGCCAAATTTCTTCCAGTTCTGTTGGGAAAAGACAATCAATCTCTCATAAAATCTATAACAAAATGTTTAATGGAGATATTATAGGCCTGTCAAAGTTCTTGCTTAATCGTCTAATTGTGCCGTTTAAATTTCAATGACATTTTGCCAAAGAATATAAAATGAACCATTGTAAAGTACACAAAAGAAACTCTAAGTCTTATAGAAATATTAGTTTCATAGCATTTAAGTAAAACATATGAGCTCAGTTTATCATGTTAAAAGGCAATAAAAAAAATATATATATATATTCAGCTTACACTAAATTGTTAACCGGAATTATTTGTTTGACAATTAATCATAAGCACAAAATTCATGATCGTGACAGGCCTAGATATCATCAATATACTAAAGTCAAATGAAGACATACCTTCCTCCTGGCAACTGCTTTGGAGGCCTTCCGTGTCTCAATTTTAAACGTCCTGATAATCTGACCAGAGGAGCAACGAACGAATATGAAACCTGATTTAATTTTTCTGAAACCCTTTCATAAGTACTATATAATATAAAGAATATAAAACTCTACTGACCTTACACTTCTGGCCATCTTCATCTATCTTGTATTCTGTGTTAGTCTTGATGTTACCTTTGACAGTCTCTTTTGGCGAAGGAAGTGAACCTGTTGAGAAATATTTTATGTAAACTGATGCCTTATAGATGCGTTACTATGGTTAGTTAGTTCACATGGCAGGTCAAACAGAACAGTATGCACATATACCGGTATGTCATCTACTACTAATACTATTTTTTTATTGCAATTCTTGTAGAATAATTTTTTAGTTTTATGACTTTATGACTTCTCTGCACATCTTTTTTTTTTTTACTCCATTTGCCTAATTGTCACTACTGACAAGTAAATATTATAGTATAGTACATTGAACAGTACTGTTTAATATTGAAAATAAGTACAAGTACAATATATAATATTGTAGCTGGGTGTAGTAACGTTATAGCATAATATAACGTTAGTAGTAGCCACCGTATACAACACCAGCTGACTTCTTCAGTGCGCACTTCCTGTACTTTTCACAATAATCAGTGTTTATATATCTTTAAAGCATGTTCTCATATGGCTTCATCATGTAATGAGTGTATTTTAATGAAAGAGTGTGTGTTAAACACGTGTGTGTGATGATATTTAAGCGCAGGCTGCGCTGCGGCCTCGTACCTTCATCTCCCTCCTCCTCCACCTGATCAGCCCAGCTCGGCTTTGAGCTGTCGAAAAACACAAGTCATTAGATGCCTATTAAACAGGAATAAGAGTCAATAAAAACGATATGAAAAACTTACTCGTCGAATTCGATCGACGGCATCTTTACGGGTAGTCTGGAGCCTCGAGAGGAAGCGTTTCGCGGGACAGTCAGCGGTCGACGAGAGCACGCGCTGCGCTACAGCGACCCCTGGACGCGCGGAGGACGACTGCAGGCGTGAGGGTGGAGGTGAAGAGCGATTGAAGAGAAGAGAAACTGCTAAAATGAAATTAGCTGTTTTTTTTCCTCCTCCTCTCTAGGTAAACGATGTATCCTAATTCTATTTCATCTATCTATGCAGGGACATAAGCAAATGCCTTTATACAAATGTTACCTCAAAAATGTTATAGCAACCACAACTTTTCGGCCAAACTGTACAGGTTCGTTAGTAGTTAATGCACCGTAAACTAGCATTAACAAACAATGAACAGCTTTATTTTTTATTAACTAACATTAACAAAGATTAACTAGTACAGTAACAAATGTATTGCTCATGGTTAGTTCATGTTAGTTAATACATTAACTAATGTTAAATAATTAACCTTAATGTAAAGTGTTACCATTTTTCCTATGAAATGCAAATGTCTTGCTGAACAGCAGAAGGGAATATTTTCTCTAAAGCTGCTTTAAATCGATATGTTCTGGGAAATTGGCTATACAAACTTGACTTAACCCTGCAAAAGCCTGACAATATAAAATAATAGTCAGATTATTGCTCTTATAGACAAACTATAAAATGAAAAAAGGGTTTGTGTGTTATATTGTTGAGCATCATATTTCATCCATTAGCATACAAATACTAATCTTAGATTATATTTAAATGACTATTTTTATGATTCAAAGCTTTGTAGCTTTGACAAATACAATGCAATGCAATATGGTTGAGAGATGAACAAATATTTGTGTGTATAAATTGTTCCTCAAAAGCCTGATGTATCATCTTTGATACCCTCATTTTAACATGTTTTATTTATTTTTTAAATGGATAGTCAAGTAAACCTAATTTGCTTCATTCCAGTAAGTGTTCATCTTGACATATTACTAACAATATAAAAGTTATTCCTATGTTTACATTATAAAAATCATTGTATGCGTGTATCACAATCTGAAAGGGGACGTTTTTAGATGTATACTAGTAAAGACGACAGAAGTCATGCAGTAGATTATGTGCAACAGGTTTTTCAGCAGTTACATTTGCATATTACATATGAGACAGCAAGCTTTTAAGGTTCACTTGAGTTAAACAATATTAGTTGTGAAGTCTAATGAGAGTAATATATTAAATGGCAATGTACTGGAATATTATTGGAGCTCAATATACCCCAAATCCACAATTTTTAAAAAGAAGTGCTTTTCTGGGTAATTTGAGGGTATTATTTATGTATGATACTTTGTGTCTTCTCTTAAATATCTTTAATTGGTATTTTTTTTGCAGCTTCAAACACATATCAAGCATTTTAATTATCAGTGACAGTCAGAAATGTTCTTATTTGCATACAAATACATATTTTTTAATACAAAAATAACACAAGGAAATGTTTCTCATTTATCTATGTGGTTTGTGGTTTTCAGAGTACAAGCTTGAGCAGAAAATCGTCATCCAGGATGTCACTGCATGAGATTTTGGCAAAAGATATCATGTATGAAGGTTAGTCATCCGAGCTCTTTCCACAGCAAGTTGTCCGTATGCTGTCAAACACAGCCATGTACAAAAGCGGATGTAAGCACATGTTCAGGGTGGTCAGGCCTTTTGACACTTGATATGAATTATACACCCAGAGTTTGGTATGTTTCACTGACTTCAGATACTCGTGGTACGTCTGCAGAACGTGATAGGGCACAAATGACGTGGCGTAAAGGATGCAGACCAGAGAGACCAACAGAGCTACTTTCCTCTTCTCTAGAGTGGTTATGTTTTTATTTTTCAGAATGGTCCAAATCACACCCAAATAAGACCCAAAGGTAACTACCATAGGAATCATGCAGCCTACAACCATAAGAAATAGCTTGTACTTAAAGTGGGAATTTTGCAGGCTTTCATCATGGCATGAGACACAAAGAGTGTGGTTTTTTGTCATTTAGATTCCAGCAAATTTGAAGACCGGTGACGAAGCGATGATCACGATGGACCACGTAAGCACGCTTGCGATCTTTGCATGTTTAGGAAGCACGTAGCTCCGGGTGAAGAATGGGTAAACTATGGCGACATATCTGTTGACGCTGATGCACATGATGAAGAATATGCTGACGTAGAGGTTGCAGTTGAAGAGGAAGCGTTCGATTTTGCATGCAGCATCTCCAAAGGTCCAGTTCTTATTTTTGGCATAGTAAATGATGAGCAAAGGCAAGGTCAGGACGTAAAGAACGTCACAGATGGCCAGGTTACAGGAGAACACTACTCCACTGTGCCAGTTCTGCCTCTCTTTGGTCGCCAGGAGCCACAGGGCAAAAATATTCCCCAGCAGAGCCACACACATCTCAATGCCATACATGGGGGGGAGGAGGAGGATTTGAAACGTATATATAGATTGGTCTGAACTGTTGCTCATTGTCTCTGGTGTTCTCTGACCCCTAAAAATACAAACAGAGTTGGTAGTGTCACTAAATAACTCATTTTTTACAATGGAAATTAATACATCAAAAACTTACTTAAAGGCACACTATGTAATTTTTCGCCACTAGAGGTTGTTTATTCAAAAACAAAGGCGTAGCTTGATGACGCCTTGATTTCGCGGAATCATAGGAGTTATTGTCTTAACCAAACCTGAGTGCCGTTGTATTTTGCACCTGCTGTAAGGGGTGAAGTTTGGTCTCATTTTAAAGATGACCCTTGGCAGATTATTGTTGAAATAAAAAACAAAACAAAAAAGTGAAACAAAAAAAGTTATTGAGGTTTAAGTTTATGAAAATGATTTACTAACACACACACACAATTATAGCAGCATAATTGATCCAATTGGCTCTATAATATGCAGAAACAAAAAAACAGTAATAAAGTGAGTATTTGCTTTAAAGGCCAAACCTGAAAAAAAGGCACAATCTGGTATTTTTTTTTAAACTAGTTTAAAATCTGCCAACAGAATGAAAGCCTATTAACAAAGATTGCATCATTTTATAGTTAAATGGCCCTAGGACTTAAAATTGCAGTTTCAATAAGGGCATCCTTAAAGGGTTAGTTCACCCAAAAATGAAAATTCTGTCATTAATAACTCACCCTCATGTTGTTCCAACCCCGTAAGACGTTCGTTCATCTTCGGAACACAAATGAAGATATTTTTTATTAAACCTGAGAGCTGGATCACTCCTCCATAGGCTTCTTAAGGGATCGAAACTGGCCGGCCCAAAAGTTATGAAAGACATCGTTAAAATAGTCTGAGTGACGACAGTGGCTCAATCTTAAGTTTATCAAGCGACGAGAATACTTTTTGTGCGCAAAAAAAAACAAACAAAAATAACGACTTTATTCAACTATTCATTTCCTTCTCTGTGGGCCGTGATATTTCACGTAGCAAAGCTTCTAGGTTGAACGTCACACGTAGGCTCACTATTGGCCGACGCTGGTCATGTGTGTGATGCGTGTGACGTTCAACCTAGAAGCTTTGCTACGTGAAATCTCACGGCCCACAGAGAAGGAAATGAATAGTTGAATAAAGTCGTTATTTTTGTCTGTTTTTTGCGCACAAAAAGTATTCTCGTCGCTTGATAAACTTAAGATTGAGCCACTGTCGTCACTCGGACTATTTTAACGATGTCTTTCATAACTTTTGGGCCGGCAAGTTTCGATCCCTTAAGAAGCCTATGGAGGAGTGATCCAGCTCTCAGATTTAATCAAAAATATCTTAATTCGTGTTCCGGAGATGAACGAAAGTCTTACGGGGTTGCAACAACATGAGGGAGAGTAAATACTGACAGAGTTTACATTTTTGGATGAACTAACCCTTTAAGATCCTGAGTGGAACTATTTTAGTGCATAATCGATTTATTAAAGGAAATAGGGGTGAAATAGTCAAATTCCAATAAAAATACACCCCTGTGCCAAAACACAGACAAAATGTTCCACAAACAAAAACTGGAAAAAAGACAAAAATTTCCATAAGGTCACAGACACGGTTAATTTCCTATTATCGTTGTAAAGCTGCTTTGAAACAATCTGTATTGTAAAAAGAGCTATATAAAGGTGACTTGACCAGTTATTTGACGAAAACTTGTGAATCCGAGCAGTGTGTCTACACTGTAAAAAATATATGATCGATAAGTTATAACATGTTTTTACATTGCTTTAACTCCATATCAAAAAAAGTCAAGCAATTTAAACCAAGTTATACAAGATTTAATTATGAGGTTCTAAAATGAACTAACAATAACACTTTTACAGTATTTAACTTGGTTAATGTTTATTTCTACACTTAAGATTTCAAGTTGTATAAATGAACAAATTGTTTTCCATTCGTTAATGAATCGCTACCTTGTTTATGATTCAGCACTTTTATCTGATTCTAGTTTTTTGTACCATGCATTTTTAAAAATGGTTTGTTATAGCCAACAAAATCCTTTTACATAATCAACATTTTACAACTTGAAATTTAGCTTAGTTTATAAAAGATGCAATGATTAAAAAAAGACAAATCACTACCTGCTTACAGTGTTGTAATTCAGATACACATCTGCACTGCGGTTAGCAAAGTGTAATGACTAAAAACAGCTCGACCTGTGCACTGCAAAACACGTCTTTTCAGCACTTGCAAAACTTCACATCCAAATGCTGTTTATGATGAGATGGAGAATGTACCTGCATTGCTTTGTTTCTAATGTTATTTGTTTTAATATACAAGTTAATGAATTTGATCATTTGCAGCGAATTCAAAAACAATATTTCACCATATTTGGAAACATAGGGCTAAGAACTCTTAATGGGTTTAAATTTCACTAAATAAGATTAAAGCACATATACCTAATGTATTCAAACCAATAAATCCACATCAAGTACAGTTATATATCAATTACCCTTTATTCAACTGACACATGTAATAACATGTTAATACAATGTAACATAGGCTACTTTATACTGAGCACATATACACGAGGAACACAAGCCTTGCTTTTATATTATCCTCTGCAGTTTTTTTATTATATGGAATAGTGTATAAACATTATTAAATTTTTTAAAATCGATTAAAAATCAAACAAGCTGGTAAAACTTACCAAGTAAGTTACTCCGACAATCTCTCTTGAAACGGTGTCAAACTTCCTGTCTCATGCAAATGGTGCACTTTTTTTTAGAGAACAATGTGTGAAATCACTCAGACAAGCACAGACAAGCACACTAGAGTGCTCGAGTGACTCTATAAAGAATATGAACGACCCCCAACAAAAGCTGCATGGCGGTTTGAACATTTAATGGCAATTGCATCCAACTCTATGAACATTTATACAAGGCACAAGTCTGACATCACGCAAAATTATTGCTGATGTTTGCGTGGAAATGATACATCAGACTTGACGCATCAGTGAAGCAACAGTACCACCTTCTGGTTCATTTTCGTTTCCTTTAGCTTTTTCCTTTTTTGTGCCTGAAGTCCTTTTTTCCTCCAGCGCCTTTCTGGTGTTTAATAACAGCACGTCCTTTAAATGTTTTCTGCCCGCCGTACTTCTTCCCAGTTTCTCCTTTTTTCGGCCCTGCAAATCTATTGCCCTTTCCCCCTTTTGTACCAAACCTCTTGCCTCCTTCACTCTTCCTAAACCTGTTTTTCCCCTCTACCCCTTTTCTATCCCCAAACCGCTGCCCACCAGCTTTTCTATCCCCAAACCGCTGCCCACCAGCTTTTCTATCCCCAAACCGCTGCCCACCAGCTTTTTTATCCCCAAACCGCTGCCCACCAGCTTTCTTTCCCCTATCAGGCGACTTAAAACTCTTCCTGTCTTGGGGAGGGCCCTTCCCCGGTGACAGCTTCCTCTTTTTGAAGGGTTTCGGTGACTTTCCGGGGCCGCGCTTCCTTTTTGCACCAGGAAACATGTCTGAGATGGAGTCAAAGAACAAAATTACCACAACTGCAAATGACAAGAGTAAAACTTTGCAAGTAATTGGGTATGAAATGATACCTTCATCTGGTTCCTCCCCTACAGCCTGTCTGTAATAATCTGCTTCGTCCTCAGACTCCTCGGCTGGAGGCTTGTCCTCCTGGTTCCCAGGATCCTCCACTTCATCATCAGACACCTGGCCTTCCTGCTGCCCCTTTCTCTTGATTCCCTCCAAGCTCCTTTTCCTTTAAGAAATTAAATACTTTTAGGACCAAATACTATATCATTAACATAAAGATGCCATATTTACCATAGATATAATACTGTTTACAGCTGTTCATGAAGTTTCAGGAGCTGAAACCCAATTGACCTATGGCTAAGCCACGCCCCCTCCACTCGCTCGGACAAACGGTCAACATTCGGTGACATGCGCTATGGCAGCTGTCACAGTAGGAGACATTTCACAAGAGGCAATTGATGATTTTTGGAGAAAGATTGATTATATATCATCTCAAAGTCACCAAAAGGGCCTTAACTATTCATTGGAGGGTTATATTAATTTTATTGTTGAGAAGGTCGATGAAAAGCTTCAGCTCTAGGCAAACATTTACAGGTCACAGTGTAAACGTTATAAACCGCATCTCGTTGCCAACAAAAAGTCAGTTTTGAGCGGTGAGGGGAGTCCATCGTAAATACTTCTGATTGGCCATTATTGCGTTCAAGAAATCAACACATGTCTGTGATTGGCTACATCGCTCAACGCTGCAGACGTGTTAGAAATACAAACTCTGCCTGTAAACCGTTTCTATTTTGTTTTAGTTGTTCTTATTGCTTTTCTGCAACAGATGAATAAAAATGTATTCGTTTTTATGTTTTATTCATAGATATTTCTAGTTTGCAGGAGTCCCGCGAATCGTTTTATTCTCCCTCAACCGGCACACACAGAGTGAGTGCATTACCGCCCGCGCTCCCTCTTATGACGTCATCACCCAGTTACGGTAAAAAACATGCTACCTTTGAAGAAACCCCAATAAATGTTATTTTAACGCATTTTAAGACATACATTTTTACATATATACACATTGAGCACTTTAATTTACACATTAATTGGTTGTGGTGGTTAACCTGCAATTGACACTTTAAAGCCGCAAAGTTTATAGAGATATAGTGGGTAAATGCTGACCACGACCACGACCCAAAAAAAAAATTCTCATCGGATCTGCACAAATCATGTAGGTGACCCATTTTGGTTTTAAAACGAAAGGTGAGGAGTTTTCATGCCTGCCTGTTGCCACAAGACTGCACCACATCTAGCGTTTCATCACCACCAGAGATGATACTCACTTGTTCTGATCGCGTTTTTCTTTTTTTAGAGCAACGTTCTGTTCTTGTTTTCTCTTCCGCTCTGCTTTCTCTTTCAGACGGGCCTCCTTCCTGTTCAGCATCTCCTGAAGCTCTTCCTCTGTTTTTGAGACTGCAGACAGAGCACAATTTAGACTAGCTCAGGATTACGATCAGCAATGACTACGTTTTGTTTCTAGACGGTCTCTTACACAAAGCTATACTTACTTGTGGAATGATAAAGCACATTTCCTTCTCCCATGCCTTCTAATATCTTCACCAGCTGTAGAGTCATTCTGGGGCCAATCTGTAGCAGAACAGACACCCATCATGTTCCAAACCCAAGTGAACGGCCAAATCAGGCAGCGTTTTAAAGGGATAGTTCACCCAAAAATGAAAATTATCACATAATTTACTCACCCCCAAGCCATCCTATGTATATATGACTTTCTTCATTCAGCCAAACAATCAGAGCTATCTTAAATAATATCCTGGCTCTTCCAAGCTTTATAATGGGGGTGAATGGTACCTGAGATTTTTTTTTTGTGAACAATTGTTTTTATTGAGCAGTATAAGACATAAGAAAAAAATATACAACATTAAAGTGTAACCCATATAACCCCAAAAAAGCACATTCATCCTTCATAAAAGTAATCCATACGGCTCCAGGGGGTTAATAAAGGCCTTCTGAAGCAAGCGAAGTGATGTGTTGTGTTTTTGTAAGAAAAATATCCATATTTATAGCTTTATAGACTATAATAACTGGTTTCCGGTAACGGCAGTATGCAAGTAGAGTTGAATGACCTCCGACCTGACATGATGTTTGATGTAGTAAGCTTAGGTGAGAGTAGACGGCTCTCGCAGTTCAAACAAATAGGACTGGGCAACAAACTCAAGCTCCTCTTCTCTTATATTGAAATTTTAGACTTCCAATACTGGCCGGTGTTTCGTTTTGCTCTACCCTATGTGCTTCCACTTTTGTCAACACGTCATGCATCGGGTCCGCTGGAACTAGACTCGCGTAGAGCCAGTGAATAGAGTTTATAAAGATGTAAATATGGATATTTTTCTTACAAAAACGCATCGCTTCAGAAGGCCTTTATTAAGCCCCTGGAGTCATATGGATTGCTTTATGATGGAAGGATATGCTTTTTTAGACTTCACCATTCACTCCCATTATAAAGCTTGGAAGAGCCAGGATATTATTTAATATAACTCTGATTGTTTTCGGCTGAAAGAAGAAAGTCATATACACCTAGGGTGGCTTGAGAGGGAGTAAATTATAGGATCATTTTCGAGTGAACTAACCCCTTAAAGGGATAGTTTGCCAAAAATGATATTTAAACCATGCATTACTCACCCTCAAGCCGTTCGAGATGCATATGTAAATCTTGTTTCAGACGAACACATTTTCAGTTATTTTAGAAAATGTCTTAGACCCTTCAGTGGATATAATGTGAAGCAATGGGGTCCACCTCCTTCAAGTCCCAAAATGTGCATATATCCTTCACAAAAGTAATCCATCCGGCTCCATATTTAAAACTTTATAAATGAAAATTTCTGACTTCCCTCAACGTTTGACGCGCGTCCACGGGTGATGGAAGTCGGCGTACGAGGTAGGACGTAGCGTCGTGACGTAGAACGAACGCGCCCGCGCAGCCAGACAGCAGAGCAAAACATCACCCGTGAACGTGCGTCGATCGTTTAAAACTTTCATTTATAAAGTTTTAAATATGTATATTTTTACGACAAAACCGCACGGATTACCCTCATAAGGCCTTCGTTTATCCCCCTGGAGCCGGATGGATTACTTTTGTGAGGGATATATGCACATTTTGGGACTTGAAGGAGGTGGACCCCATTGATTCACATTATATCCACTGAAGGGTCTAAGACATTTTCTAAAATAACTGAAAATGTGTTCGTCTGAAACAAGATTGACATATGCATCTCGAACGGCTTGAGGGTGAGTAATGCATGGTTTAAATATCATTTTTGACCGAACTATCCCTTTAAGGTATCACAAGCGACTAGTGGCTTGCAAGGAGTTTCCTCACCTCAGTTAACCGAACTGCACTCTGCTGAGAAGCCATGTTCCCACGACCAGAGTACACCTGAGGAAGCTCTGTGATGTTGTGATCCCCGTCCTGCTCGGCCTCGCTCTCAGAAAGGTTGACGCCTCTGAAAAGTGCAATGGACAACGAAAGTGTGACTCATAAAACCACTTACTTTGATTACAAATACAAGTATGAAGCTGGTGCATCAGAACGTTTACTTTGAAACATCACTGTTCCATCAATTATAATACATTTCATCATATGCATCAAATTATGCCAATGATCTCCAGCTCATGGAAGACTAACTTCATGAGGAGCTCACTGATGTCCTCCAGCTTGCTCATGTTGGGGAACTTCTCCTGCATGAGCTTCTTCACCCCTCGACTCATGCCCACAGGCACCACCTTCAAGCTACTGCGGAAGGACATGGAAAGGGTTAGGAGACATCGTAACAAACCTCACAAGACAGCATTCGTTTTAGGGTGCATCAGTGCGTTTACTTTGAAAGCAATCACAGGAAAGTCATGTTTCAAATTTTCATCATGTGCACATTTACTGTTACAAAAAAACAAAACAAATCCAGGCTACTTACTAATGACGAAACTCCACCTCCTGAGACACCGGATCGTAATTTAACAGCACACATCTTTTGATGCAGTTGAGGTTGAGCTGAGAGATAAGAGGTTAATGATTAAAACAAGCACGAAACCTTTATATCACGTCACCATTAAGAAGACAAAAATATCAGCTGGTTGTACACTTCACAGATCTCAGAAGACTATACTTTCATCATGAGTTAAGAAACGTTTTACAGCTGTGAGAAAGCGAGTTACCTTGTGTACGTTGATCGAGGGGAACATGTTCTGGAACATGGTGGCCATCAGCTTGACATGCATGCCCTCTATGCCAAAATTATTCAGCACTAGCAAAGGATGATGGGTAAACTGCTGGTCATGCATCCTGTGCCTCTTTAAAGATGAAACTACATCTTTGATGAGCGTGTACTGGAACAAAGAGACGATTTGCTTTTAGAACAAATTAATTTAGAAGAGCATTCATAATGCGTTCAAAGTGAGACTAGACACATCAGTACGTTTACTTTGAAGAGACATCACTCAACAGTCAAAATACTAAAATGTCATCATCTGTGCCCTCGAATATGAGAAATCAAACCAAAGATAGTGCATTACATACCTTTGCAACACGGAAATATAACGTTGGACCTTTGGGAAGCCGAGCAAGCCTCTGTGAAGAAAGAGAGAGCCATTTCAGTTTGTTAACATACTTTATCTCAAAAAGACTGAGAAGATGATCCATCCATGAAGTTTGAAACAGCAAAAAAGACATTTACTTTATGTAGGAAGCCTTACTATATACTTCATACTACAAAGTCATAGCCTCCAGTGCCTTATTGCTTTTATTATCATTTTAAAAAACATTCCTGTAGCTCAAAAATTAGAGCATGGCATTAGCAACGCCAAGGTCATCGGTTTGATTCGCAGGTAAAGCAAGAACGGATAAAAAAAAAAAAAAAAGAATTCAACGTAATTTGCTTAGGATAAAATCATCTACAGAATGCATAATGTAAATTCATTAAAGTCACAATGTATACATTTGATCATACATTTGAGTGAAACAAATTATCAGAAAAAACTTTAGGGCAGGGTTCTGTGTGTTGGTTTATAGATTGGATGGTGGAATATCTTTAAAGGGGTCATATAATGGTACATGCACTTTTACAAGTTGATTGTACTGAAATGTGTGTTGGCAGTGTCTGTACACAACCATCATATAATGATAAAAATCCATCCAGTGTTTTTGTTTTAATCTCCTTATATGTTTTCCCCAGTCTCAAATTGAGCCGTTCGTTTTTGTGACGTCAATAAAACGGACGCCCTTCCCACGATTGTTGATTGACAGAAGGGTTTCAACACAGACCCGCCCTCGCTCGTCCTGTCAATCATAGTCTGAGCGGACCGGCGCGGTCATTGTTGATACGCTGGAGCACTGTCTATGAGCAGAATGGCGTCTAAGCGATTGTGGTGTTCTGTTCTTGGGTGCAATAACGAACACAGCAGTCATTTTAATGTTCCTAAATCCAAACCGCTGAAGACGCAGTGGATGAGTTTGTTTTCGAAGGGAATATTCCCCACGATCAACGTCAATGCTCTCATGTTTGCGCAAATCATTTCTCAGTGGACTGCTTTATAAACGAGGATCAGTGTAAAGCTGGTTTTGCTGAGAAGCTGCACCTGAATAAAGGATCGGAACCTATTCGTCTTCCTGCTGAACCTTCAGAAGAACTAAAGTGAGTGTAACGTTTTATTAATCTTTATATTAATATTTATATAATCTTTGCAAATCGCCAGCTGCACGCTTCACGATGAATGCGTCGGTTTACACTCAGGGTACATTACGGCATGTTTTCTATGTACAACGTTCTCAATATAATTCATAATCCCACGTTTATAATGAACAACGCGTGGTTATTGTGTTACAAACGGTGTATGCGCAGAACAGAGGGGTGGAGTGAGCAAAGCTCATTATCATTTAAAGTCATATACACTGAAACGGCGTGCTGAAAACAGAGCTGTTTTTGACCAGGTAAAATAAGTGTTTTCTTACAATACTAATGAGAATTTTTAAGAGAGGGGGTAAAATCTCTGCGTGGCAGGGGGAGCTGCCACTCGACCGGCCACGGAATTATGCGCCTGCCATTGCGTTATAAGCGCCTGCCACCCGACCGGCCACGGATATTTGCGCCTGCCACTCGACCAGTCACAGATATATGCACCTGCCACTCGACCAGTCACAGATATATGCGCCGGCCACTCGAACTTACACAATATGTAAGATAGGTTTTCAAACCAAATGCAGCGCATAACCCCTGAAGCCAGCGGGAGACAGAACGGTACGCACTATAGGTCAATATTCACCATTAACCAAACGCTTTTCGCCTCCCTCACAACTACTGTAGGCTACTCGCTTTTTGAAAATAGTTCCGTTGTGTTGACGGAAGGTGGCCTATTTTCAGGCGCTGCGTCATATCATTACGCCTGCTGCTCTCATGGTACGGCAGCGAAGTTTCTTGATTATTACGCAGGAATGAGAGTATAGTTCCTAGCCATATCAGCCTAGAAAATCGCAACTTTACATTTTCCGTCGGTCTTAGTGCACGATGTAACTACAGAAGAGTCAAGTATTAAATAGGAAAAATATCGAAACTCTTTGGTCATTTTTTTTTTTTGAAATGCTAATGGTATTGTCCACTCCAATGATGTATGCTAAGCTATGCTAAAAGTGGTACCGCCAGAACCGGAGATCAGCTGAATGGATTCAAAAACGGTAAAACTCAACAGTTTAACTCTGGGGGAGTTGTAAAATTAGCCTATTTCCAAAAAAAGTGGAGTATCCCTTTAATAGAGCCACGCGAGCGCACTCCCATGCGCATAAAAAGAGCGAATAAAATATAAGATCAGATGATAAATAGGTAGATAAGATCTGTATTGCACTGTATGTGTGCTCTCATGTACCATTAGGAGTGTCTGATAGGTGTATACAGTTAGAGATCGTGTGGCGGGTATGGCTGGAGCGACGCTTAAAAGAGCCACGCGAGCGCACTACGATACGCATAAAAAGAGCGAATAAAATTTAAGATCAGATGATAAATAGGTAGATAAGATCTGTTTTACACTGTATGCATGTTCTCGTGTACCATTAGGAGTGTCTGATAGGTGTATACAGAGAGAGATCGTTTGGCTGGTGTGACGCTTTAGTAGTCTAGGCGGGAGCCAAGAGACGCGCTCTCTATGGGCAAAAAGAGCGAATAAAAAAGAGATACAATTAAACATAAATAAGACAAGTATTGCACTGCCTGTGGGTTCGTCTGGTATATTAAAACAGTGAGAGATTTTAAGGCAGGCGCATAAGTCTATGTCACGAGACTGGTGCTCATTTAAAAAAAAGCGAGTAGCCTACAGTAGTTGTGAGGGAGGCGAAAAGCGTTTGGTTAATGGTGAATATTGGCCTATAGTGCGTACCGTTCTGTCTCCCGCTGGCTTCAGGGGTTATGCGCTGCATTTGGTTTGAAAACCTATCTTACATATTGTGTAAGTTCGAGTGGCCGGCGCATATATCTGTGACTGGTCGAGTGGCAGGCGCATATATCTGTGACTGGTCGAGTGGCAGGCGCATATATCCGTGGCCGGTCGGGTGGCAGGCGCTTATAACGCAGTGGCAGGCGCATAATTCCGTGGCCGGTCGAGTGGCAGCTCCCCCTGCCACGCAGAGATTTTACCCCTACAGATTTTTAATTAAAGTATATTACAAACTTTTAATTTAGACCCTAAAGACTCATATTAGCTTGTACAAAAATGGCATTATATGACCCCTTTAAGGGATAGTTCACCCAAAAATTTTAATTCTGTCATTTACTCACCCTCAATTTGTTCCAAACCTGTATGAACTTCTCTCTTCTGCTGAACACAAAAGAAGATATATTGAAGAATGTCGTAACCAAACAGTTGATGGACCCCACTGGTTTCAATAGGTTTTTTTCTCCATACTATGGACATCAATGGGGACCATCAACTGTTTGGTTACCCATAATCTTAAACATATCTTCTTTTATGTTCATACAGGTTTGGAACAACATGAGGGTGAGTAAATGATGCCAGAAGTTTCATTTTTGGGGTAAACTATCCCTTTAATGCAAGCTTGTAGTCAAGTGTAAGATAGGGGCGGAGTTTAAGCAGACTAAATGATTGGAGAAGACTGATAAACGTCATCAGAGAAAATTCTGTCATTTCACTGGAAAACTGAGTTGACATTTTTGTAAAAAAAAAAAAAAAACGAAAAATATAGACAGAAGTATTGTTCAACTTCACAACAAGAGTAAAAATACGCATTTAGAAAAAAAGAGTGAATTTTGGCCTCATAATGCAAACATACTCACCATGTTTACACAATTATCTGTTTTGGTAAATATTGAGAAGTGTGTGATTCCTAAAGGTCCGGCCACAGCAACGAAATCTTTCAAGATGTTTTTCTTCCGCACCTGCAAAACATGTCACCGGTTTCAGTGTATGATCATGAGACTTTGAATGAGCGCAGAGTTGAGCAGCAGTAATCGGAGGTTCACCTTCAAAGATCTGGCAGTGAAAGGCTCCATGACTCGTCTCATGTCCAACACCAGCTGACCGACATTCTTGCCGATCTGACCCCGTTGAAACACGAAGGTGTGCGGCACAGTAGAGTAAGACTCCTCCGCCAGAACGCTGGCAGCCTCGCGGGCTTTCTTCTGGTTCTTAGTCTATGTGATAAAAACAGAAGTGTAACAAATAACTCTTCTCTTTATTTTACCGTCAATTTGCATCGTCTTTTAGAGACACTGCACAGATAAAGACAGGCTGACTAGCCTCATAGTCTACAGGTTACCTCTGAAAGCAAGTTAAACACATACCTTTGTTTTCCCCATTTTTAATAGAACAGAACAACTTTTCCAAACTTAGAGTGGAAACCTGAACCTGAGTTTAACGCGAAAACCTTAGCTAAAATATCTCACATGTCTTGTTAACCAGAGTCCATCTTGAAATTGAAAATCCTGGAACTCTGCTGTTAACCATGTGGCGTGGTTGCGCATGCGCAGAAGGAGTGTACCGCACGCTGTGCGCACGATGCATGTTTGATTTACATGCGCCGTCTCTTGGATCGGATGAATTACTACACACACCTGCATTGGTAGGTTTAAAGAGACAGTTGACCCAAAAATGAAAATTTAGTAGGAAACAAAATATGGAATATGGATGACTATGGAAGTCAATGGGTATCATCACTGTCTGCTTCTCAACATCTTTAAAATATCTTATTTTGTTTTCAACAGAAGAGAGAAACTCAAACAGGTTTAGAACAAACTTGAGGGTGAGTAAATGATGACAGCATTTTCATTTTTGGGTGAACTATCCATGCTTGATTATTAAGGAAATATCCACTACTAATCCCGGATTACTCTTCTTCATTCTCAATTAATCCCTCTATTGATCTGATTCAAAATCGAATGTGAGTTAAAACCGTTCTAAAAAGTTGCAGTATCGTCATCATTTTCATCTCTCACTTTTTCTAGTAAACATAATACTTAATAAGGTTTAGAAGTCAGGTTAGAGGGTAGAAAATATCATCAGCTCAGTATTATGATGCTAAATAGAAAGTCCACAATTAACATAACAATTATTTTAATTTCAATTAATGTCAATCATGTAAATAATCCTAAATGAATTTTAGCAATTTCCTGCTAAAATAAATCGTAAAGGCCCATGTAAACTGTATTTCGACACATTGTCCAGTCATGCAGTCTGAGCGATGGATGGGGTCACAGGAGTGAAGGAGAGGGTGTGTGTGGGGCAGGACCAGAGAGGGGGGCTGGTCTCATTAGGATGGTTTGTAATTACACTCTTCTTTGTTTAGAGATCCTCTGACAGGAGCTGATTATCCTGCTTTAAAAGTTTACTGTCAGTCTGGGTGTCTCCCACTGCCTTTGAAGATCTCCACTGAAGACCAGCCAGAGCACCGACCAGACATCCAATGCTTCAGTCCTCCTGTTCAATTACTAACGGCAAAGGCCATGTTTAAACGGTGTTTCTCATTATTATGGTGACTTTTCATCGAAATTATAAGATTTTAGTTATAAGAAGATTTTTTTTTGCATCAGTCGGGAGGACGAGATAATCAGTTAAACAAAACCAAAAATAAAAGAGAAGATTATCTGGTGATATAACTGAGGAGGTAGGAGAAATATATATTTTTTTTCCAGGTTTTTTAAATTTACATAAATGATGTGTGCTTCTGTTGGAATTTCTCTTCAGTGTGACTTAGGTATTTGGTAATATATGTGTGTATATATATATATATATACAGTATATATATGTGCTGTTAAATCGATTAATTGTGATTAATCACATCTAAGTTTGTGTGTGTATTATTATGTTTATATATATATAATATTTGTGTGTGTGTGTGTGTGTGTGTGTGTGTCTGTGCGCGTGTCTGTGTCACACCACAATATATATGTATGTATAAATATATGTGTGTGATAAACAAAGACTTTTATGTTAGATGTGATTATTAGCACTAATTATATATAAAGTTGCTGCCTTAAATTTTAAGTATACCATCAACTTGGATGTTTAAGTCATTTCAACTTAAATCACATTAAAACTGACTTAAAAATTAGTTGAATCTTGTTCAACATAAGAAAGTTGAAAATTGCTTATTTTGATGAGTTAAAGCAATGTAAAAACATATGTTGTCAACTTATTGATCATCTAATTTTTTAAGTGTATGTTCTGAACAATGCAGTTTTTTAATGAGTGAAACTTGTTCAAAATACATAAGATCATTTACATTTACATTACATTAACATTTCAACATACTTTTGCTGTTAGTTTTGGTAATTTGTTTTATGAGAATTGTAATTCCATAGACATCAATGGTCTTTTTACTTCTTTTGTTTAGTTGTTTTTAAGTAGTTGTCACAGTCAGTGTTTAGACTGTTAATTGCTTATGGCGTTTATGATGTGTGTCAAAGCTGTCATTTTCATCAGTATATTGACTTCAGCAATTTATATTGACGATCAGATGAAACGATGGCTTGACCCCGGCTCTGTTTCTGTTGACATGCTAATTAACCCAAGAAAAGGCAAAACTGTGTTTTACCCCCCATCGTTAAACAGAAACATCTGGCATGCATCAAAAACTGCAGGCCTCTTCAGTTCCGTTCATGACTGACCGACTCGTGGATGCCACAATGTTAAATCTGGTTTAAGCTCAGTCGAAAATTAAACACATCTGACAAATAGTAACTGTTTATTACAATTTCGCAAGTTAGATTCGGTCTAAACGTTGAGTTACTAAAGAAAAGATGCTAGAAATAGCTACAATATAGTGCGTTTAAAATGAAGTTAAACTGTATGTTCATTTGAGATGTATGCTATTGTGTAAATTGCTAAGACTTTGTATTATTTGTTTGTTAGGATTTATTGGACAGTTTATTGGAACAGTAGGACACTCATGGAGATTCCAGTGACTCGTGCCTTGGTTCTCCTGCTGTTTTTTGCTGGGGCGTGCTTTGTAAAGGCCCTCAATGAAGCCTCTAATGCAGACACCTCCAAGGGTGATGCCAGTCACAAAAAGCCGTCTCGAGCATCAGAGAATAAGCCGAGCCGCTGTTCCTACACCTTCATCGTACCTCAGCAGAAGTTAACAGGGGCACTTTGCGTGAGCACCGAGACGGCCCGTGTCAACCGCTCTGAGATGACATCCCTGCGCGCGCTGCTGGACCGGCAGCAGGAACAGCTGGATACAATGCGTGGGCAGCTGGAGAAGGAAGGCGCACTGGCCAATGAGATGAGAGTCCTGCGCCGGGAGAGCGTCAGCATGAACGCCCGCATCACCCAACTCTACGCCCAACTGCTGAACGAGATCATCCAGAAGAAGGATCATGCCTTGGAGCAACGGCGGCTCGAGAGTTTGGTGCTTAACGCAACATCCCAGGTAGCTTTTCCTACTGTAAAGAAACATCATTATTGTCTCAGTTGCTTCACCCAGACAGCAGTGAGATTAAATGGAGAGAAAGCAGAGTCTCCCGCATCTCATATTTTCCCTGAGAGTGTCTCCTTTAAAGTTTCAGAAGAGATCATCTCAAAGACCTCAAACTGTGCGCAGATTTGCTACAAAACAAAAAATGTGTGCAAAGTCATAGGTTTTAATTTAAAAAAAAAAATCCTTGTGAAAAAATAATTATTTTAAAAAGAGTAGGCCTAATTGCATGTTAATTGCAGTTAAATTAAAATGTATTTTTATTTAAATGTACCCCATGTAACTTTTTTTGTTCAAAATTGACAAGTCAATACATCATCAATAGCCTACTTCTTCTAAAACATGTTTTTGTCTTACCCTGATTTACTATGGATGTTACCTGTCAGGATGGTTTTCGCGGGAAATTGCGTACATACGTCACTCGCCCGTGCGTGTGTGTTTCGTCATATTTGACGCATGGTGTGATGCTGCTTTCTAGACAGCTCGCAATTTGGATTTTTCCACCTCGTTCTTGGAAATAATGGCTGGAAGGAACGGCACTCAAATCGGGACATTACCTGTGAACTCGTTGGTACATCGATCCCTACCTCAACCCCAAGTCCTGCTTCCAATGAGCATATAACGTAAAAACAATCTTTAACATTAGACATTAAGTTTATGAAATAATAGCTACGTTTTTGCTTTTCGTCAGCTGTTTTAAAAGCGATTTTATGTTGTTTTTATTTAGGTTTGTCCATAATTGACTCAAAAACACGATATGCTCTCCTTGTGTGTAGCGACATCATGTGGTCAAAATGTGAACGTGTCGTCGGATCGCCTGGAACTCACTAAGACTAAGGTCTGAACTTGTGGGGTATTTAATTTTTTACAGTCTATGGTCTACCCTCGTCTGGAACGCAGCATGAGAGTGACAAGTGTGAGCCCCTGGCTTTTCCTCTTGGCTTATGGTTTATTCACCTTTGTGTTCTGTAGTAGGCAATTAAATGATAGATAGATAGATAGATAGATAGATAGATAGATAGATAGATAGATAGATAGATAGATAGATAGATAGATAGATAGATAGATAGATAGATACCTTTAAATTAATTAATATTAAAGGTATAGTTCCCTCAAAAAGGACAATTCTGTCATCATTTACTCTCACCCTCAAGTTGTTCCAAACCTGTCTAAGTTTCTTTGTTCTGCAGAACACAAAAGAAGATATTTTGAAGAATGTTGGTAACCAAACAGTTGATGCACCCCATTGACTTGGGAAAAAAGTGAGGACATCATTTTCATTTTTGGGTGAACTATCACTTTAAGATTTGAAGTACACTACAAGTGCACATTCAATACAATTGAATGCATTTCTTTTTCTTAAGGGATGTATTGAAAAGGTTATTTTTATGGACCACTTATGAACTTTTGTAATATTTTGATCACTCTTTGCAACCGTTTGACGGCAAATCCTGACAGGCGCTTCAGGTGTCCAGCAGTTACAGAGACCTGGAAAAGAAGTATGACACACTCACTTCTCTAGTGAGCAACCAGAGCCAGCTAATCTCACATCTGGAGAAACAGTGCCAGCTCAAGAATCCCGCTAAAACACTGCAGGTAAGACAGAGCCATCTGAGCTTTCAGTTTTCTCTTCCGCAATGTCCCACAAGTATGCAGGTGCAAAAAACTGAAAGTTAAATTTCTTATGAATCTCTTTACAGGAAGCCACACCACTTCCGGTTCAACAGACAAGTAGTTTGTTGAGTGAGAACACAGAGACTAAAGAAGTTGCCAGCAATGTCCAAAGAGACCAAAGTGTCCATTTGCACCAGGAACAGAGTCCTCAAGAACTGCTGGAGACGTTCGATGACTCTCCCAGTCCACCAACTGACACACCTTTCATCAGTTACCCTGTGACTAAATCTCCAGGTAGCATAAAAATCTCTAAAGGCTTCACTCTTAAAAATAAACAACAACAACAACAACCTTTATTTATAAAGCACATTTAACACAATACAAATTGATCCAGAGTGCTGTACATAGTGCATAGCAGAATTACAAAATGACACTATGAAAACAATTACAAGTTTCCAAAAGCTAAAGAATAAAAATGTGTTTTCAGAGTAGATTTAAAAATATCCAATGAAAGAGCAGACCTCACATGATAAGGAAGAGCATTCCAAAGCTTAGGCCCAGCGACAGAAAAAGCCCGATCACCTTTTAATTTGTAGCGACATCGTGACACATTTAAAAGCAAGTGATTTGACGATCTAAGTGCCCTAGCAGGACAGTATGGCACAATAAGATCACAAATGTACCTTGGTGCACAGCCAGACAACGCCTTATAGACAAACATAAGGATCTTAAAATCAACTCTAAACTTAATGGGAAGCCAGTGAAGGTTCCAAAAGGTGGTTTTACAGAAATATCATAGAAGAACAGTTTTTGGTTCTCCAAGGGAACCTTTCAATGTTTCAGTTTTTTCTTAGTGTGAAGAACGTTTTAATAATCTAAAGAACCTTTTTTCCAGAATAAAGAAACTTGTGTTCAATGGAAAGATTCCATAAATGTTAAAAGTTCATATTAGCGTGAGAGCGAAATTCCAAAATTAGCGCCGATGGGAGTGGAAAGTTCAGAAGCAAGTAAAAGAGCACATAATGACCAATGATGTGCTTTTTTTTGTGGGGGGGGGGTAAATAATGGCGAAAATAGCAGTAAAATTCCTAGCGCAAACCTTAGTAAAATACATTGCGTGATTCTTTTAAATACTCTCCTCCCATCAACTTTGCGTCTGAAAGGGAAACTCCTTGAAATACACATTCAATAAGGTTAGCCAAATATATATTTGGAGCAAATATATATAGCAAAAATAACTCTGTCCACTCCTTTTCAGCGCTAATTTTTCACTTCGTGTCTTTAGTAAATCCTGACAGTAGTTTTTTAACGGCAAAAATGGGTTTGTGCTGTAGCAAGCTGTTAGTAAATCTGGCCCTTACTGTGTTGCTATGCTGTCTATAGGGCGTTCAGGGTGGTTGCCAGGACTTACTGACTTCAGTCGAAAGAGCCCACCCAATTATGGTCCCTCCTTTGATTGATTTTTTGCCCGTTTTATCATCCACCACCAAGTGAAAATCTTAGTAAATGCTTAGAAAAGCAATAGCACTTCTCGCCTCAACAAGCCACCACATTTGAGGTATCAGTCATGTTTGAATGGCGCTGGATTAGTTGCACACAAGTTTAATATTTAGGGTTAAATGTTTGTTCTAAATTATAACATAAAGTATAAGCAATTGGTGACAACTGCCTCAGCAAAAGAGTGAGAATCTCAGATGTGGGTTATATGAAGCTATCTGTGCTTCATGTAGGAGTTCAATAGCCTTGAGTGTTAGTGACCTGTAGTCAGGAAGCTTTATCTCGGAGAATTCCAAACAGTGCCTTATCAGAGGTGGTGACCCTCACTAGTCTTCACACGACGTACAGACTGTGAGAGCTGCGCTCAGGCTGAAAGCTGTGTATTGGCACAAGTACACACACACACACACATGCACAAAACACATGTTAATCGCCACCTTTATAAAAGCTTTGTGACACAACCCTTGAATTACAATGCAATGCTTTTGCCTTCACCAACTCGGGTGTGAGATTACAGGACACATGTCGTCTCCATTTAACAGACCCAAATTACAGCCGGCGATTACAGCTGACTCATAAATTACAGGCGACTCATATACTACTACTAGAATAGCTTTTCGTACTTGAATGTCAAAAAAAAAGTTTCCCCACATATTTAACATTAGCCACGTTCCCACCACAGGAACTTTCCCCTGGAACTACTCGGTGGAGGAACCAGGGTCTAAATGAAGTTCTTATAAATATTTCCCCCTCCGAAAGTCCCTGCTTGTGTGAGGTAGTACCTCTTCAAAGTTCAGGAACCTTCAGGGGTGGGACTTGGGCGCTGAACATTCTGATTGGTTGAGTTAATGCCGCATTTTGATTGGTTGACTCCACACACAGGATTTTATTTCAACCATCATTTTTTTTTTTTTATCTGTTGTGGTGCCCGTGCCTGCAGTAACAGTTGTTTGCTATTAGAATCAACAATGGAGTTTAAAAAATACGACTATACGAGCGTATGGGACGCTCAAGGGGTTCAGAATTAATGCAGTCAAGATGGTGGTGTGTAGTTTCCGGTAAAAGAAACACCCGATGGAATCCCAGTTTAACTTATTTATTCAAGGGAAGTTTGTATATGTTACTTCACAAATGTGTGGTCTGTAATAAACAAAATAGAAACAAAGAAAAACAATTGTAATTATATCAGTAAATGATATAAACATTCAGGTATTAAATAATATATAAATGAACATACATGGGTTAACTGCGTGCTGATTATAAATAAAATAAAGTAAACAATGACACGCATATTGCACGATCGTTGCATATGCTCAATATTAGAGCAGCGGTAAACATACAACATGTCATCAAATTCGACATTTTCAAACAATATTGAACAAACAAATACTGATCTGTAACTAGGAAGAGACTATAATATCTTATAACCTAATATAATGACAATCATTTTTGAGCTCAAAGTCTAATAGGAAAAACGGTTCGGTTTCACTTTGTGACGCAGTTTAAATTGCATTCATTTTACGAGCAAATCTCGACATTCAGAACAATAATATTAACGCCAAAGGGAAAAAATATATATGAAAACTCACCCGTAATCATTTACGCACTGAGAAAGAACATATATATCGCTGAATAACAGGCCAGCCGGCCTAATTTGTAACTCAGCTGCCGATTTTGCATGTCTACACCTGGCTGAGCGCTGTATAATACCAGTCACTCAGGGGGCGTGGTTAGGGCTTTCTCACACAGCCGCCCCCAAATGTGTGTAAGGACATTTGAAACAGTGAGGAACCCTGACTAATTGGTAGGCTCAATAGTCATCATCAGAGAGTTTAGGGAGTGGGACTATACGGGATACAGGTCTCACATATGTGCGATTGTGTACCTTAACTTCAACTGTTCTGATACGGCCATCAAGTCCAGGAAAAGTATTAGTCACTTTTCCTACTGGCCAACATGCTCGTGGAAGTTGTGGGTCCACTATCAGTACCACCTGGTCTAGACCAATTTCTCCTCCATCCTTTCGCCACTTCTGTCTTTCTTGCAGATTCGGAAGATAGTAATGGATGAATCTAGACCAGAAATGGTCAGCAAGTACTTGACTATGTTTCCATCTTCTGGTTCCCAAAAGATTACTTGAATCATAGAGTACTTGTGGGAGTGAAGAATCGTGGCGGCCCATTAGGAGAATGCTAGGCGTAACCGGGTCCAAATCCGACACGTCTGAGGACACGTATCCCAAAGGCTTGGCATTTAGGATACCCTCTACCTCAATAAGCACGGTACGCAGTACTGTTTCAGTCACTGTTTGATCCTTCAGTACAACCTTTAGGGCTTGCTTTACTGACTTAATTTCCCGTTCCCAAGCTCCCCCGAAATGAGGGGCACTCGGGGGATTAAATCTGAATGAAATCTGTTGTTCTGCAAGTTGTTCCCTTAGTTGGGGCACCATGGCGTCATATGCTGATCTCATTTCTTTGTTTCCTCCAACAAAGTTGGTACCGTTGTCGGAAAGGAGCTCGAATGGTTTCCCTCTCCGAGATATGAATCTGCGGAGAGACATCAGAAAGGCATCTGTGTCAAGGCCCTCTAAGAGATCAAGATGGAGACAACGGGTGGTCAGACATTTGAAAACTATTCCCCATCTTTTCTCTGTTCGTCGGCCGATCTTCACTGCGAATGGACCAAAGCAGTCCATTCCAGTGGAATAGAATGGGGGTTTGTATAGACGTAGACGTGCTGGTGGGAGGTCAGCCATCTTGGGTATACTAGGCTTGGCACGCCATTTCCGGCAGTCCATACACATGTATTGATGCTTCTTGATAGCTTCCCTTCCTCTCAGAATCCAGTATCGTCTTCTCAGTTCGGCAAAGACTCTTTCTGGCCCAGGATGTAAAAGGGAGGCATCATAGTCCTTGATTAGAAGCTTGGTTAGGTTATGTTGCGGATCAAGCACAACGGGATGTATTGCATCCAATTCTATATGATTAGCATGTCTGAGTCTCCCTCCAACCCTGATAAGTCCACTGGCTTTATCATACTCAGGTGATAAGGATGCTAATCTGCTGTTGGATGGTAATGGTCGCTCAGATGCGAGAGCCTTGAAATCCTCAGGAAATGAATCTTTCTGAGCCTGTTGTAGAAGGAGCTTCTCTGCTGATATGTAACCCTCTGAATCATCTGTTGAATGAGTGAAAGATGTAGCCGCCCCATGAAGGGATGTCACTGTAGATTTGAGCAATTCAGTCCAAGTACTAAATTGGTTGACATCAGGAAGGGGAACATCGGAACTAATGCACGCATGCAGGCAAATTGCTGATTTTTTCAACTCTGCCTCTGATTCAGGTTCCTCTGATGGTAAAGTGGGCCAACATGACTCTGGCTGATGCAGGAAATGTGGACCATTAATCCAACGGCAAGGTGGGGCTAAAGCCTTCAACGACTGGCCTCGTGTTATAACATCAGCAGGGTTGTTCGCTGAATCAACATACCTCCAAGAATTAATATCGGTGAGTGACTGAATCTCGGCCACTCGTGTTCCCACGAAGACTTTGTATCTGCATGATTCAGATTTAAGCCATTGGAGGACAGTGGATGAGTCTGACCAGAGAATGACATTATTGATGTCCACAGTTAGTTCTGCTTGAAGGATATTAGCCACCTGCGCTCCGGTAAGTGCCGCAGTCAGTTCTAGCCGAGGGATCGTCATTTGCTTCCGAGGTGCCACTCGAGAACGGGCTAACACAAATGAGACATATACATGTCCTTCATTGGTTTCTGTGCGCATGTATGCCACT